TGAACTTGACTTAAAAGTTCAATACTGAACTGAACTGAACATGAACCTCACTTAAAAGTTCAATATTGAACATGATTAAACTGAACCTGAACCTGAACTTGACCAAAGTTTAGTTCAGTTCAGGTTCATAGAAACACTACATAGTTTTGTTTGCAACTTATATTATGACCATTGTCTCCTATTTTTAATTTAATTGTATCTTCTGAAATAAGGACAGGAGGAGAAGGTTGTTGCCAAATAGGAAAAAGAATATTTAATATAGATTTGATTGACCTATAAGCACCATTTGTAATTTCTGATTGTTCAATTTCATTAGTACTAAAAGTTCCAATTCTGATTTTTCATTTATTAGGCTTGTAATTTCAGTTCTTCGTGCTGCAACTTGATATTCCCAAACAAGTTGAGGCTCAATAGCAACCAACCAACAATAGCTATCTCGAGACATTAAAAACTCATCACATGCTCGAACAATTGCATCTACTTCAGAAAGCTTCGCCTCTCTATTAGGCAGCTGGTAATTTAAGTTAATAATTTCATCATTAACATCTAACTAAACATTATGCACGCGAATAGCAGACTGCTCATCGTTTGTGACTAATTGATGTTGTGCAGTTAATGCTGAAAGTCCTTTTTCTATATCTTTTCTGAAGGCAACAAATCATTTATGCTGCCCTGATATCACGCTTGAAAAAGGTCATTTTTTAATATTATTCTTACTAAATGCTGCAGATGTTTTAAAATTTAATTGTTCATCTGAGTGCTCATCAACAGCAGATTTCATATACCATTCAAACGCTTTTTTTTCATCTTTAGGAACACCTATACCATTTTGATAGCAATATCCAACATTCAGTTTTCCATTGGAATTCCCACTCTTGGCAGATTTTAAGTACCAGTCAAATGCTGTTTTCTTATCTTTAGAAATACCTATTCCATTTTGGTAACAGTTACTAACACTTAATTGACCATCGGAATTTCCACTTCCAGCAGATTTCAAATATCATTCAAATGCCTTTTTGCTATCTTTTGAAACGCCTATTCCCTTTTGGTAACAATGCCCAACACTTAATTATCCAGTAGAATTTCCATATCCAGCAGAATTCAAGTGCCATTCGAATGCCTTCTTATTGTCTTCAGGTGTATGTATACCACTATGATAACAGCTATTAATACTGAAAAGCTCATTAGTTTCATTAGTATTTTCGCTTTCAGTATTCTTTCTATTGGAATTACAAACTAAATTTGATCCATATTTTTTTTTTTTTATATGGATTTAAATAACCTCTATCGAATACTATTAGCTCATTATAATGTTGTTGACACAGTTGGTCATCTAATCTGAGTTCTGCCTTTAAACTTGGAGCAGCTTGACTCTTCATAAAAGATTTGGCGTCAGTCTGCGAAATTTTTCTTCATTGTTCTTGCCGCATATCACACATGGCCCTGTATTCTTGCGCGGTGAACCATTTGCCATCATTACTAGTAAAAGTTCCACCTATTTTAGGATCAATCTAGGATCATTGAAGCTGAGGTCTTGTTGAATGTAAGCACAAAGTTTCGTACCACAATATTTAAAAAAAAACTTGTGGCTTCGAAAAAGTAAGTATCACCTTTTATTATTACAATAAACAAATTAACCAATCAGAGGGCAGATTCTCGATAATCACGTGGAAATAGATCAGCCCATACGTAATCATTATTTTGTGCAAAAAGGTTAAGTATATATGTCGTGCCTCAGATCAATTCTTGCGTCAGATTAAAACCGGCCTAAGTTAGATTAGGGTTAGGGTAAGAATCTGGGAAGGATTTGGGCTTAATTTAAGTCAATCAATATCGATCAGTTAATGCGGGCCAAAAAGTTGACATCTGACGCAAGCATTAATCTGAGGCACAACATATATATTTAATAATACAGCGATTGTTTGTGAAACACACGCCGTGTGAAAAAGATTCACCGAATTTCGTGTCTAAATAACGCTGAATCGTGTAATATAAAAATCATGTCTTCTGTCGAAAATGGGATACAGAGGCCCTGATCACTTTTTTGCAAGAACAAGAGCTAAATGTTAGCGAGGGAGTTTTCGGTATTCTTCGCAAAGCAAAAGTTAACGGTCAAAGTTTCCTTATGATGACCAAAGATAAGTTTATTGAAGCTGGAGTAGCGTTTAGTCCCGCAATAATACTTGCAAAGGAAGCGGAGTTACTCAAAAGTAGAACGATAAGATCATACCATACCATAGAAAACCTGAGAGAAGTGTTAAAATCATATAAAATCAGTGGGGATAGTATCATTGATATACCACAATTCGAACCAGGTTGATATTGTTAATAATATCTGTGAAACTAGGCAAATTTACTTAATACACTTTCTTTCATTTATTCTAGTCACTCATAAACTTGAAGTTGATAATTCATCTTTATGTTTCTGTATAGAAGATATTAAACGAAAATTAGAAAACATGGGATCAGTAATTGATAGTAACGAAGCAATGCGATATGAATACATATCTGCAATTTTGCATGCATCGGTTACCATACTCAAAAGTATTACTAAGGATCGTATCAGAGTTTCGCCTCAGTTTAGAGTATCGGGTATTAATGATTATGGTCGTGTGGACTATGCAATTAGAAAAATCATAGACCAGTCGGCCGAAGAAATTCTATGTATTACTGAAGGAAAACCTCATCAATTAAAAATGGGGGTATTGCAAAACATCATGCAATGCAAGGCTTCATGCGAAGTAAGTATCCTTGCCTTGTTTTTTGCTAACATGACTAACATGAATACTGCTTGTTTCAGTCGAACAAAGAAAATAGAAAGAGAAAAATCAACGAAACACTTGACTATGAGTACATCTATGGTATAGTCTCAACTGGGACTGAATGGATCTTCCTTCTGCATACAACAGATAGTATTTATTGCGCTAGCCAAAAGGTGTACCATATTCCGCTTGACGAAAATTCTCTTAATGACGATACTAAATTAAGACGCAATGTTAAGAAATTTTAGAAATAATTATTGGCATCTTGGAGGATCGAGCAAATGTTGACAGTTCACCGGTAAAAAAGAAACAAAGGATCGAAGAATATTTCAAAAAAGAGAGTAAAACCAAGTAGTATTTTTTAATATCAGTGAAAATAGGAATTAATCATTTTTCTATCGAAATTGTAGCCAGATTACACTTCTATTTCAGCGGGAATATCGATGAAAGAAATCCTAGAATTTACTTCCAAAATAGATAAACAAAAGCAATAATGTTACAGAATTTGATCAATTATCTTTATCCTAAACGCATGTCATATTTTTTTAGAAATAAAATTAGCATAATCGAAAATATGTTGATCCATTGCATTTTTGCTGTGGAGAATTGAAAGGAGAATTGAGTGACCCGCACTAATTTTCAAATAAGGATGGGCAAAGTAGTAACATATTATTACTTACATTACTGCCTTGCCTATCTCTAGATGGGCAAGAATCTGAAGTTGAAATTAAAAAGACCTGATAATAATCAGCTGTTAGCCGAACTTTTCAATAAGTTGCAATTACGTTCTTTACAATCAGTCATGTGATCGTAAAATTTACGTTTATCTTATGGTGATTTATTGTCCAGAGATATGCCTGGCATGTAATAAAGACTTAAAAACAATAATGTACAATGTAAATTTGGGGTGATGGCGAATATTTCGGCAAAAAAAACTTATCGTCTCAAATGTTGGGAGATAGTACAGTACGTAACCGTAAAAATGTAGATTAAAAAGAATTATATATCATAACTCAGTATTAATAATCACAATTATAAAGTAAATATCAACTAATGTTCACACAATCGCGTTAAAATAAAAAATTGGGATCCCCTTCTTTATTTATAAAAAAAATTATTGTCGGAATGACAACATACAAATAATAAAAAATAAAAGCGTCCGATTTTTCTAATATTTGAGCTTTTTTTACACATTTATCGATGGTTTCTCAATGACTGTTAAACCAAATTCAATAAATCTTTATTTTTATTTTGATTCTACAAAAATATAGAATTAAAATAAAAAAAATTTCACCAAGTTTGATCAAGTAGTTATTGAGAAACCTTCGCTAGAAGTATTAAATTAAAATTTTTATATAGCCAATCACAATTAAGGATTCGAAGGTTCTAGATCGCAGATCAGTGAAAATCTGTTGGTGTAGTTGTTGTACGAACGTACCATCATCACGACTTATGATTTTACGAAATATCATTCGCTGAATTTATACATAGCGAGTAATTCTCTAAAAGAACTAGATATTTATTACTTTACTATTATAAATATAATAATAATGATAAAGTGGGGGCGTTCATGGTAATGTATTATCAATCAGTGTTTTTGTAAGTAATTGAAATTTTTTTTTTTTTGAAAATTCAACAGCCAGTATTAAGACTTTACATCATTTGAAGAGAAAGAGAGATTACCGTCATCTCAACCCATTAATCATTGTGGTTTTAAAACAAGGTATTCACCTTTATATGTTGCGATTTTCTTTGTGATATTAAGAAGAAGATCCTTATTGCGACCGTCCTCATTGATCCTCTTTTTGAAAGCCTTGATAACATCAACGACCTTCACCTGCTTGGTTTCAATAAGTTTCCTGATTTCACCTTCCGTAATCAATCGAGAATCGTTACCAACATTTGTAGAAGGACTCGGTACCGTTGCACGGCTCGGTGTCCCGGAAGTTGAAGTGCTTTGAGCAGTTTTAGCTTTCTTGACAGCATCAGTACTAACACCACTTGTTTTAGAATCGGAAGGACGACTTCGCTTTATATTTTGGGTAACTGAAGCGCTAGTCGCTGAATTACTGGTCACAGGTTCATCATGTCTTGGACGTTTTGAAATGGAACCATTTGTTATACTACTTGATTCGATATCGCGAGGTTTATTGATTTTAGCATCACTGGTTTTAACGCGTTTAGCTGCAGCGGCGCTAGTGGATTGTTCTGTTGCATCCAAAGCTCTCGGTCGTTTTACAGAGATCGTCGATTTAGAATCAGATTCGGCAGAACGAGTACGGTTTATTGATGTGACTTGATTAGATCCAACAGGCTTTTTGACTGTTACTTTATTGAAACTTTGTTTCGAATCGTTCACAGGAACCTCAGCCTTTACCGTTTTAGGTTTTGAACCCAAATTCTTTGTGGGAGCAGAAGACTGAGATTTCTGTGTACTGGAGGTTTCGATTATCGGACTACTATGTCTTTCCGGTTTAATCTTAGATGAAATCGGAATACTAGTAGACGCTGCAGGCATAGAACTAACTTTATCCACTGGGGCTTGTTTTAATGGCGCGTTTGCTTTGCCTTTTGCTACCGTTTTTGGTTTAGGAGATGCAGTTTTAGTTTTTGCTACTTTTGCTTTAGAAGGAGCCTTTGCCTTATCAGAGGCTCTCATTTTTTCTGAAGCTTTATCAAGTTTTGAATTTGGTGTTGAAGGAGGCTTTGTCTGAGGTGATGATGGTTCTTCTGTCTCTGAATCATCGCTTTCAGAGAAATATGGATTATCTTCACGATCACTATCGTATGCGTCATTATTTTCCGCAGTTCTGAGTAATTTTTTGAGTTGCTTTCCTTCGTTTGTCAATTTATCATCATCATCCGATTCACTAAGTTCATACGTGTGTTTACTCGTTGCCTTCTTTTTCATCTTACTAACTTCTTTTGTTTCATCATCAATGAGAGGATTTGCATCATCAGGCAATTCTTCCTCATCATCTTCAAAGACTTCTTCGAAATCTACTTCTTCTTCATCGTATTCCTCCCTAGAGGGAATTCTTGCTTCTTCATCTGATCCTATCAATTCTTCTTCACCTTCAACTACTTTCATGGTAGATTTTGGATCGAATATTCCTCCTTCGACCACAGCTAAATCTTCACCATTTTTATTTTTACCCCATGATCGCATCATCCATCTATCATTATCTCTCTTTTTAGCTTTCGCCATCTGATATATATATATATATATTTATATCAAGAAATAGTGAAATCCTCGTAATAATATAATTATTTGAGTCCTTATTTAATTAAATAAGAATAGATTTTTACCTGTTCTTCAGCCTCTTCGATTGTGAGTGTTTTGTAATTCAGCTTACGATTGAAAGTGTAGAATCGATGAATAGGAACGAATTCTAGTTTATCACCCTAAAAATTAACATTGTTAATATATATAGATCACGAAAGTTTCAAGATCACAGGTAGTTATATATAATAAATAATAATAAATAAATAACCTTTATTAAAAAGACACCATACTTTGCGCTATCACCACCTTCATATTCACCAATCCATGTAATACCTTCATAATCTTCCAGAACCCAAGGTAGTTTCTCTTCAGCTTTAAGTTTGCGTTGATTATCATCAGCCAAGAATATTTGAGTTGTTTTTTTTTTGAAAAGATTTTTTTTATTATGCCTTGCACCAGCATACGGCGCGATAAGAGACGCATCAGCTCCGCTTGTAGGTGCTGGAGCAGAAATTTGTTGCGGCGCTTTAGAAGGGCCCGGGATAATTGGATTTTGACGACTCAATAACAAAGTTTGTTGCGGAGACACATCAGGATCTCGCCTTTGAAGTTTTACTGGAGCAGTAAATTTTGTTATATCCACCGGCTGACTGCTATGAAATCTCATTATATTTAATTTTTTAGATTTATTCAATGTTGAGGAAGTAATCGTGTATTCTTTTTTAAGCATTAAATTTCCTTTTGGAAGTTGTGGTGGTAAAGCAGCCAGGGCTTTCGGTCGCATATGCTTTGGTAAATTTCCAATAAGGTGCGCAGGAACAGGCTTCTTTAAAAAACGATTATTTTTAGTAATAGGTTTCGGCGAGCCTGTGGGCCTTATAGTGAAATTTGCATTGATAGGCTTTCCTGCGTTGTTATTTGTTGGACCTCCTGAGTTTGAAATGCCCGACCCAGTGCTAAGATTTGTTAAAGTCTTACTGTTACTATTGACAGCAGACATGCTGATTAAACACTATGATTCAAAGTTTATCTAGGAGGCTTTGATTTATAGTATTGTTATATACCATCGTATCTTAATTGGCTAATGATTTGTCGACCAATAGCACAACTACGTATATATACATACGTATGCGTTTATAAATATAACAGATAATAATGCTATAATAATTATCGTTATACTCATTATTTGAGTAATTCGTTTCATTTCTTGGTATATGGAGGTCTTTTTCAATAGAAAAAGGCGAAAACCAAATTTAAATTGCCTTTTTTTTTTTTTTTCGAATCGTAACAAATTCGTAACAAATGTTAAGTTCAACCGCATCTATAGTGGTTTTACATCAATATATTAATATTTTTATTATTTAATTTTTTTTTCAATTTTTTTTTTATATGTATTAGAATTAGTATTTTATTTAAAGTATAGTATTACATACAGTATTAATTTCCAATTTTTTAAATGCTGTAAAATACAATACGTAGAAAGCTTTATAAATTATGTTCGTACGTACGTATGGGCGAAAATTTTTGATGGAAATATTGTGATCATTAAAATTACTGAATTAAGTGATACGTACAATAGAATATACATATAAAATAAGTTATGAATTTGCAATCGTTAAACAACGAAATACGTCATTATGTCAAAATATTAATAAGCAAGGATGCAAATGGACCAATTAAATAATTATATGACTTAATTTTATATAAACGGTTTCATAACGGTTTCATAAGCATTTCATAACAAAAAAAATTAATCAGCAAGTCAAATATAATAATTCAATTAATTTATCCCGGCAATTACATAAATGATTATTATTAATTAATTTTTAATCTTCACTCAAATTTATTTTCATTATAATAAGTCACGGGATCAAGATACCTTATAATAATAACAAACATTATTTTTTAATATTTTTCAAACAAATCTAAATAATCAATCTCTATTACAAAGAAAACAGAATCCCCCTTTTTATCCCTGCAAACAAATCTGAGTGGTTGATTTTTAAGTACCCTTGCCATGCTAAATTTAACAAACATATCTGCATTCATTGTGGAAAAATTGGTAAAGTTATTAAAGAAATCAAATGCATAAACTAATGATGGATTAAATACATGAGATTGGCGAACGATAGGGTTAAAAAAAAAGGTTCTACGTTTTGCTGAATTAAAATTGATCTGTTCGTCAGAAAAGATAAGACTAGTATCTTCATCGAGGTGACGATGACCATAATAAATCCAAGGATCCACGGGTAATAAAGAAGAAGAAAGGTCACCCAAACTAGTAGTTCGAGAAAACTTTGTCAATGAATTTTTTGTGGAAATTTTCTTTTTTTCATCTTGATATTTATGATCATTAGGAAATGTATGTACATCGTAAAGAATTTCATCATTTGCTTTCCAAACTTTCATAACATTCATCCCACAAACAATCCAACTACCAACCCAAGGTCTCTTGTCTAAGAGCATGCCATCTGCTGTAAAACCGGGATCTATATATTTAGCAAATTTAACAACAAGAGATGCTCCCATTGGAGGATTTATAGATTCTTCAGTTTCGGCGCAAAATAGTATATCATCAAAAGTCCATAAATTATCTGGTCGATCGGGATTTGTTGCTTTAAACCGACCTTGAAACTGAAAAGAAAAGAAACGTCGATGATTCTCAAAATATGAATTTGTCTTTATGACATTTTCTTTTTTATAATGATGATTTTGTAATCTGACTGTTACATATCCAGTAAAATGTTTAGAATTGACGAAAATTGGATTTTGGTCGTCATTGACTTTGTATTGTTGGAGTGAAGAGTGTGTTGGACCTATTCTGACGATAGGCATATTTTTTTTCAAAAAAAATGGGACGGACGAGACCTGCTAATCCGTCAAAGAATTTATTTTACAGATACGTACGTGTCTTGAATTTATATAAAAACTTCTTCATTACTCTAAATAGTCTAGCAGAGATGTGTGACAATGCATCTAGTGTTACAGATTGTCCGAAGTAGAAGTAAGGGGTTGTATCATAATTTTCATTATTAGATCTAATGATATTCGTGAAAATCTGAATATCTGTTTCACTTTGCCATTACCATTTAAATTAAATAAATATTCTTTGATATACAGTATATATATTAAATTAGATTATTGTTGCTAATGATTTAATTTTTGGGGCCAAGGGGTTCTGACCATTTTTACCTAACCCCTAATTATTAGTGTATATACTGTACGTATATACCGGTTCCAAAACACGGTCCCCAAAAAAAGATTCAAACAAGGTTATTTTTTAATGCTCTAAAAATATTATCCCTTAAACCGTATTCCAGGCAAATTTGCCTGGAATTTTGAAAAGTATTTATAATTTTTTAAATAAAATT